AATATGAAATGGGAAGGCAAAGATAAACCAAAAATATGTGAACGAATGCTGACTTGTATAGCCAGGTCAAAGGTGCTGATGGGTTGCTTTTATCAAATCATGGGTTCGCCAACGTCTTTTCCAAAAAAACACACACAGTCAATGCCCATAAGCAATGCAGATTGATGCAAAAAACTGTTGATTCTTGAAAATCGTCAAAAAACTGAAAAGTGTCTTGAAATCGCTAGCTGAACAATTTGTCTGCTTTGTTGAGCATTGGTAGCAGCTGTGCAGAAAAGCAACACTAAAGCTAACTTTTGCAAGCAGTGCGAAATATGATTTGCTTACCATTTGCATTGAATCACATCAACTATGCCCGCTACTGTGCATACCAGCATCTTGCTTCTCCATTGCACTTCAATCATTACAGAATGACGGTGAACAAACTACCGCATTTGCAAGATTGGAACAAATAAGGTTTGGCGGAAATTTCAAAACAAATTCCTCTGCAATTCATTGCGATTTACATACAGAGCTTTTTAATCACGATCCAAAGGACTGGCAGGTCCATACAGGTCTGGATTCAGCAAACGTTAATGCGGTTAACACTGGATTGCTACTCCCACATTCATAGCAAGTTAGAGAGGTCTGAAGCAAACTTTTTCGTAAAGTCATCATCAATTCACAATTACAGCATTCCAGGTGGAAGAAAGCTCCTTCAGAAGCAAAATGATAGCCTTAGAGAACTCTTCAAAGCTATGGAACCAATCGGTTTTCTGCTGCTCGCTGCAAAAAATCGACTTTAACTGGTGAAGAATTAGATCAAAATAAAATTCTACTGACCTCCTTGCAGCGCGATCATGGAGAAGAGAATATGCATCGCTTCACAAATGATCGCCTGATTAATGGCAGGCGTTTAATTCTTCACCGATCAAGAAAAACAAAAGCTGAAGATAGATCTTGAAAAAGGTCAAGGGACACCTGCAGCAATTACCGTGGTCAAGAGAACACAAAAAAAGCCTATTAACTACTCATTTTGAAGCAGGAAGTCTGCTCGATGCATTTACTCATCCCATGACAACCGTTCCTCTTTCAATACTATCGCTACAGCTGGTTTAACTTTGTGTCAGTCAGACCATAGTCATAAGAAAAGAGATAGTCTGGAAGCGAACAATAGCCTTTTGTTCTATGTTTTTGTCCGACAACGCGCTAGAGCCCAGACTTCCGTAAGTGCAATACGATATCACTTCTCAGGCCAATGTGTTCTTTCATAGATTTGTAATGTCGACCGCCTAGTCATTTTGATTCGATATGCCAGGAGCTAACTGTGCAATTTTTAATTGTGGAGCATGCAGAACACCGAAATACAAAGGTATATCAATTATCAAAGTCCCTACTGCTGTAGATGAAACAACGAAGAAGTGGAGAAGCGAGATTTTAAATGTGATTACCCGGGACAGGGTTGTCGATGCAAACCTGAGAAAGCAAATTGAAGAAGATCGTGTATACATCTGCGAGCAACACTTTCACCAGGAGGAATTGTACCAATGTGAGTATTTCAGTATTTGAAAGTTTAAGCTATCAAATTAAACATTTTCCCCTTTTTATTTTTTACTGTTACTTAGAGCCTTTCAAATCGACCAAAGCTAGGCCTGTAGTCCAATGTCTACCCAGTACCTACCTGTTGGTACTGGGTAGACATTGGACTGCAGGCCCAGTTACTTGTCATTAAGGTGGGCCCTCAATCCAATTTTACCAATCATTTCAGGGGCATTCCCAGCTTATTGTTTTGGTGACCCCATTCCCATTGTGCTCAAATCCCATTCCCACCCATTCCATTGTTTTTCAAACAGTTTTTCCTGTCCTAGCTCATTGAATCCCAGCATAGAAAAAACAATTCCCAGAGTGAAATTTTTGCATTTACCCTTTGAAGAACTTCACTTTTGTGTTCTTATCATACTAATTTGTTTTCTTTTTTTGTTGTGTACAGATAATAATCGAAAAACACTGAAAGAAGGTGTCATTCCACATCTGCTGCTGCCAAAAAAAAGTATCACCACAAAAACACCCACTGCTGCTAGACGTTCAAGTGATCATATAGCAAAAAGAGAACACGCAACAGCTGCAGATTTATCAATACAAACAAAATCATGCTACAAAGACTTTGCAGAGTTTATCAAAAGAATCAGGACATTGAAACTGGATGTAATCATTAAAGAATTACCAAATGCATGTCTTATCACAAAAAATGGTGGTGAATATGCTATACCAAAATTTGAAATAAATGTGGATAAAGATTTAACCTTCTTCATTCGAGTATTTTGCTGGTTGTTGCCCAAAAACAATCATATAATAGAGAGTTGCAAAGGAAGCATGAAAAATGTTACTCTTACTGTACTGATAAAGGAAATTGAGAACTCTATTCTCTGCCCTGGTCTTGACTTGACTGTTCTAACCCAGGAAGGTTCAAAAAGTGATGTGAAAATGCATATGGTGCCAAAGATTCCTTCTACTTTTACAGAACACAGTCAGCCACTATTGCAGGATGAATTTATGCGTGCTATTGGGTGTCACATTTTACTGGATGAAACTTCTCCAGTTCCCTGCAGTGAATGTAAAACAAAATTTCAATATGAGATGAAGCTGTTAAACAGAAAGCAAAACCTCACAAACACTCCTGCAAAACTGAAAGCACCATTGTCAGCAACAAATCCACAGCGCATAATATTAGCACTACAGGAAAACCGTTTGCAATGTAAGCAGCTGCAAGTTAGATTACAAGAAATGAAAAATGAAATTGAAAAGTCAGCAAAACCTATCAGCCAAGAGCTTGGTGCTGACTTAAAATCACTGTTCAGTACTTGTGATCAGAGGAAAATTCCTCCTTTCATGAAATTGTTCTGGGAAGAACAGCAAAAATACCTTCAGCAACCATTAGCTCAGGTGCGATATCATCCAATGGTTATCAAGTTTTGCCTGGCATTGGCTGCAAAGTCCACTTCAATGTACTGTGAGATTCGTCTAAATGAAAAGGAAGGGACAGGTATTTTGGTTCTGCCAAGTCTTCGCACTTTACGTGATTATCGTAATCACATCAGACCAACAAGAGGATTCAATGCTCAAATAGTTGCTGATTTACAAAAGAAAACAGCAGGTTTCAGTCCTGTAGAAAGATATATTGTAATCAGTTTTGATGAAATGAAGATTCAGGAAGACCTGGTATGGGATAAAAATACAGGTGAATTGATTGGCTTTGTGGACCTTGGTGATACTGAAGTGAACTATGGAACACTAGCTAAGGCTCAAGAACTTGCTAGTCATGTCCTTGTGTTTCTTGTCAAATCGATAGTGAATCCTCTGTCATACAGTTTTGCTACCTTTGCTACCAAAGGTGCAAGTGCTTTTCAGCTCTTTCCTTTATTTTGGCGAGCTGTGGCCATCTTAGAAGGCACTTGTTCCCTTCAAGTTGTTGCAACTGTGTCAGATGGTGCCTCATCAAATAGAGCATTTTTCAGGATGCATAGAGGGATGGATGGTGAAGCTGGAAAAGGAGTTGTGTATCGGTCTGTGAACATTTTCTCCCCAGACAGATTTGTCTACTTTTTTTCAGATGCACCACACCTCATGAAAACAGCCAGAAATAATCTTGCAAAGTCAAATTGCGCTAATGCTTCCAGGCTATTGTGGAACAATGGTTGTTATTTGCTGTGGAGTCACATACATGAAATTTACCAAGAAGACCTCGAGTGTGGATTGAAGCTACTACCAAAGCTCAGCAATGATCATGTAAGTCTTACTCCGTACTCAGCAATGCGCGTTCATCTTGCTGTACAAGTTTTAAGTTCAAGCATGGCTAAGGTTTTGCATGAATATGGGGCAAAAGAAGCAAAAGGCACATCTGATTTTTGTGAGAAAATGGATATGTTTTTCGATTGTATGAATGTGAGAAATACAGTAGAGTACAAGCATAAGCAGAAGCCATTCCTGGCACCATTTGAATCACTGCAAGACCCAAGGTTTGTTTGGTTGAAAGATGAGTTCCTTAAGTATTTTCAGAACTGGCAACAATCAATAGAAGAAAGAGAAAGTGACTTCACAAAAGCGAACAAGCAAGCTATGTTTTTATCAGGCCAAACCTATGAAGGTCTTCAGATCACCACATATTCAATAATTGAGGTTGTCAAGTATCTTTTGGAGGCTGGTGTGGAATATGTGTTGACAGAACGTTTTTGTCAAGATGATCTAGAAAATTATTTTGGTAAACAACGAGCTATAGGTTGCAGAAGAGATAATCCAAACCTTTACAGTGTTGGATACAATGATAATATTATCAAATCTCAGTTCAGTGTTGTTCCAATATCCGGAAATGTTAGATCCAAAGGAGACAAGTGGAATATAATTTCAGAAGAGCCATTGACAAAGCGTAAAAAGTGTGCAAAAAGTGACTTATAGATCATAAAGCAAGTTGGTGTTGTGGATGTTCTGTTTTGTTATTTTTCATTTTTATAGTAGTAAATACAAGTTAAGAGCAAGCATACAGCATGATAACATCAAACAACTAATGCAAATGTTGAATTATGTACCAATAAGTTATAAAACGTTTTACAAATAACATTATACAGATATGCTAAAAGACATCTTCCCAAACGATTCATGTTATTCAAAAGACAAGGATGTTAAATTAGCCATTGATGTAAGACTGCCCTTATCCTCTTGGCTCATTGAAAAATAAAATTTCATCACACAGATCAAGGGGTGGAATCTTGAATAATAATATTTTTTCTTCGACCAGAATCAGGAACATTAATTAGAATTTGAAAAACCTGTATGCATGTCTTGAAGAGGCAAAATTGATTAAGGGAATATAAGATTTTATAATATTAATATGTCTATGCTCAAGTAATGAACATCCTCCTAGCCCTTCATAAATTCAGAGGGATGTTATAAAACTTTCAACATCCGGGGTTAGCTTGCAAGCCAACATATTTACCAATAATTATTGATCAGGTTATCAAAAAACTTTATCAAAATAATAATTAACCAGGTTATCAAAAACTATTATACAGTAAGTACCAGCATACAAGAAACCACTTTTTAAACTGAGGCCTCAGGAAGTTTCATGTTAAGAGAGACTTTTCATATCTAAGTTTCTTATCAATAAGTACTGTCAAGTCAAATTAAGTCAATATGACAGTACTGTCCATGTATGTTTATTCAGTATTACTGGTAGTGGTTTATAATATAAAATCTCCAGTATATTTTTTCATATCAATAGAATACACAGAATATTATCATCCTACAGCGTTAACAGAAGAAACTACTTGAAAAAAGAAACATTTTAATTTCAGGCCTAAAATTGTTTCTTATCAAATGAGCCTCCTTTTGAAGAAAATGAGGCCTGTTTCTTATAAAAGGGGGTTTCCTATATGCAGGTACTTGCTGTACAATAAAACTCAGTGTCCTAAATCTTTACTTAAACTTGCTTGTTTTATCTCAGTTCTTAAAGGGCGTTTTTTTGTTGATATCTTTCTTTCTTTATGTTTTTCCTTTATTTCCTTTGCTAAGGAGTGTGAACGAACCCGTATGAAGAGATGAATAACATGTTCAAAGAGATTCTTTGCAACTTCTTTGTCCACACTGAGCTCTGAACTTGATGCAAGAAAAGCAAGATTTGATTTCACCAGTGGGTCCATCATAATGGCTTCAACAATTTGTTTGGCATTGATGCTTTTCTTGCATATATTTTGTCTAGAGGAAGAGCGGCAAAAGATGACCTCTGCTTTTTTCAACACCTGAATGGCTTTTTGATTAACTTTCCATAGCCCTCCTCTGTTTTTTATGTCAACCAGTGTCTAAGGAGTGTCAGTTTTAATAGCCCTCAAAATGCTGAGATATTGTTGGCTTAAATCGGATTCCCAGTGCTTGCTATTTCTTATCTTAAGATAGATTTTCTTGAAACAGTATCCAGCCACATACTCCAATGCATCAATTTCTCTCTTTGTGAATGCTTTGCCTTCATTCAATTGATGAGTTTCTTGAATGTCTTTGTCAACTGCAAATCCACACAGTTTTGCAAGACAAAAATTTATCAACTCTGTTAGCAAGATATTCGTCTCTTGCAGATCCAAAGGACTCAATAAAGCAATACTTCCTTGTGTTTATTTTTACAATGGCGTGCTAAACCACGTTTGGTCTTATATTTTCTGGTACACTGATTGCATTGTATAATTGGCTGTTCATCGGTTACCTGAGAAGCAATCAAATTACCATGTAACATACATCAAGATATTTATTTTCCTAGTTGGTATTGACACTGCTTAAAAGAAAAGAATTAAAAAAAGGCATATTGATGAAAAACAGTAAAAAGTAACGACAGGAAGGTGAAATTAACAAATGTTTTTTTAACTGCAAATAAAGATAGGAACTGCGAGCTGCAATTTACATTTTAGTCTTGATTAGCCTAAGCGTATTCGAATCAAAGAGATTGTATCCCTTTTATAGCAGATTTATACAAAATACGCACCTCTTCTCCGATGCAGATTAGTTGCTGCTGTATTTCAATATCTCCGTCGAGCCATTCATCGTCACAGAAGTCGAATAACACGTCTAAATCTTCGCCAACAACAAAGTCACTTGATTGTAACCCCGCCATTAAAAAACTTTAATTGCACTCGCGCGTTGTTGTTGTTGCTCGTTCAACATCGTAGTTGCCAAACAAAGGACGACACAAAAGGCCATTGTTCGCTTCCAGACTATCTCTTTTCTTATGACTATGGTGGAAGTCAGTCTTAAAATCCATACATCGCCTGGACCCCAAAATATTTCTCATACTGACCCTTGTAAAAATTATTTGCCTTATTGATCATACATCGCCTCTACTGACTTACGAGAACAATAGCATTTTACGAGGGTCACTCCAAAATTATTGAGATATTCAGTAACCGCTTGAGATATCAGTTTGAAATTTTTTTGGTGGCTTCTACCATCTATTTCACCCATGTTTTGTAATTTTTGTTAATTTCAAGCTCGAGAAAAAAATAGAAAAGGGTTTTGAATTTCAGCACCTTAGATGTTCTTATTTGTTAAAAATGGAGCTTGAAAGACGTGATTTTCGCGCAATGATTTATTATGATTTTAAAAGGGGGCTGAAACAAGAAGAATGCCTAGCTCAGCTTCTGCAGACATTTGGAGATAATGCACCTTCAAGGGCAACAGTTTTTCGATGGTTTGCCGAATTTAAGAGAGGGATGGAGAGCCTTAAAGATGAGACCCACCCAGGGAGGCCCCCAACTGCTGTTGTGCCAGAACAGTTGCCGCTGTGGAGAAGATGCTAAGGCAAGATGGTCGGATGACCTATTTATGATGCAGGATAGCGTAAAGATTGGATCAGCAGCATTGCACACAATTTTGCATGAAAACTTGCAAGTTCAGAAAGTGGCTGCCCGCTGAGTGCCACATTGCTTGTCAGATGAGCAAAAAGAGCAGCGTGTCAATTGGTGCCAGTTTATACTGCAAAAATTTAATGAAGAGAAGTCGAAACGGTTTATGACATTGTGACAGGCGATGAAAGTTGGGTTTACCAATTTGACACGGAGACAAAGCGCCAATCCTCAATTTGGATCTTTCCAGGTGAAAACCCGCCGCAAAAATTTCGGCGATCCAGAAGCGTCAGCAAAAGGATGGTTGTGTCATTTTTCTCAAAGACGGGTCATGTCGCAACCATTCAAGTTGAAGACCGTCGTACAGTGAACGCGGATTGGTATGTTAACCACTGCATAACACAGGTTCTAGAAGTTTGGCGAAATAAACGTCCAAGGACCGGCTTAAGAAGTCTACTTTAGCACCATGACAACGCTTCCGCTCACACAGCTGCTTTGACCATCGACTTTCTGTCCGAAAATTCAGTTCAGTTGATGACCCACCCGCCTTATTCACCTGATTTGGCACCTTGTGACTTCTTTCTCTTTCCAGCGGTGAAAGAAAAAATTCGCGGAACCAAGTTTGATAGCGCTGATGATGCAGTTAATGCCTTCAACAAGGCTGTTTCTGACCTGGCAGCGAAACAATGGGCCCATTGTTTTGATATGTGGTTTTATCGTATGAGACTTTGTGTGGAAGCCAGTGGAGAGTATTTTGAGAAACTGTGAAAATTTGAACACGAAGGTTTTTGAATATCTCAATAATTTTGGAGTGACCCTCGTAGCATGGTGCAGAAAATCTTTGTTAAAAGATGACCGCGCAGATTCCAAATTTATTCGACTGACTTACCAATGACATTGCAAGTTTTCACCCTAACATCTTTGTTCTAATGATTTATGCATTGAGCTGTGTATTTCTATAGGAGAATTTATTCATGAATCATCTCGTCGGTCATTTTATAGAAAACTGTTGATCCTACAGCTGACAGATCTGATGATTTTGAACAGGAGCTATAGAGAATATTAAAATAGATCAATAACGCAAGTGAGACATGAGAAAAATGTGTTTGAGGGTTCATGTAGACCATTTCTGCTCAATTGCTACGGTTTGAACATTTTTTGACTGACTTCTGTAAGTCGGGTAAGTCAGTCTGGATCCGCCCCTGATCTCCCTTTCCTAGTGTTTGTAGTGCATCAAAGCTCTTGCTAAGTTTCTCATAAAAACTTGATATCTTCCAGTAACTTGTACCACGTATCACAGGCAAATTGATAATCTCATTGACATGTGCCTTTACTATCATTTGAGTTTGACCATACTCTTTTGCCAATCTTTCCCAAGCTGTCTTGTAACCAACAGGGCCTGGTGTTAAATTTGAAATTCTATCTCGCACTTTTGAGCATACTTGTTGGGGATACGAACGGCCAAAGTTTGAAATGCAAACGAGACTTTTGAAAAAATGTATTGATGGAACATGCGCAGTAAGGTTCGGGAATGCCAGCGTTTTTGAGGGAAAGTTTGTGAAACTTCTATCTCAACGCAAAGTGAACCGAGGAGCGATTCTAAGTGAGCTAGGGATCAATATTCAACAGACGAGCAAGGGAAAAAATTTCAATTGACCATACACCCTTACAATTGTTGTCTATGCCAGGATGCTGTCAGTCTGCATTAGGCCTGTATCGCAGCTACGCGTAACAACCAGAATCGCAAATTACCACGAGAAAAAAATTAACTCCCTGGAAATCGGATGCACCTTTGGTTGAAAATCCCATTGTTTTGTTTTTGAAAGCCCCTGGAGATCCGTTTGTTTTCTTGAAAAATCTCGCACTTCAAATTCTGATGATAATGCCTCTTCTCCTTAATCTATTTTTATTTGTTTGAAGCAACTGCTTTGCTGCCAATTGCATAGGAGCAAGAATGTTTGTAAAAACGGTATCCAGATTGAAATATCTTAAATTTTGTGCTTTAAAGGCCCATGGGCCATGAGTCCCACATACAGCTAACAACCTGATAATTTTTTATATTGGGCAGGACTATTTGGAGTTGTTGCACAAAATTGTTGCTTATGTCTTTTTCTAAATAAACTCATCATGTCAAGAAGCAAGAAACAAATGAACTTAGAAAGTTTCCATGGGATGCATGTCCTCAACTGTCAGGATTTATTTTTCATTGGTCAAAGTATTTATAGCTAATTTGATTCCCAACAGCAGTGTATATTTTGATTTTGTCGATTCAATGCATTCTTTTCTGATTCAATGCATTCAATGCTATAAATAATTTGATTCAACATTGATCATTCATCACTGCATAACATTCTTTTATAACTACAGCATGGACTGCATCATGACTACAGTTTGTGCAAGTAGTATATTTTCAATAATACTCTACTACATTTCCTTTAGAACTTTCTGCTGAATGGGAAGTAACACTACGGGCAGCACCCCTCCCCCCAATATGAATTTGTTCACCAACACTGCAACTCCAGCTCAAAGTATGAAATACAGAAGGCTTCATTCAATCTCTGCTATTTATAAAGGCTGCATGCTTTAAGTAAGCAATTTTTTTAGTTCAGCAGTCAAAAGATAGTGCTTAAAATGCTATAGGTTACTTCATAAGAACCAACAAATTTTGTTTCTTTTACTTGAATTTTCCTTCACTTTCCCTAATAAATCAAGAACATATGGCATTCACTGGAGTTATCTGATTGACCATTTTTGCAGATGTATGTGCATTATTTAAAGGGGATGTTTCTTTAACTGTGAATACCTTAAAGTGGTCTGTCCACCCTTAAGTTTCCCATTTTGATAACTAAAGTAATCTTTCACTGTTCTGTTCAGTGACATGCAAGTTAAAGAAAAAATTTTAATTCTTAATTCAGCCATTTTTAAAATAAAAAATAACATTTGCTTGATCCAAACCCACCAAAAACTTTTATTCTAAGGGGTCATTGTCTAAGACAGGCAAAGGGATTTCTTAGGATGAAGAAGTCATAGTTTCAGAATTCTGGTAATCTTAATGTAACAGTATCACTTCCTTTTTTGGAAGTGACAAATAACCTTATCAAAAATGTGACTCCACTTAGACCAGTCTATGACATGTTTAAATGAGCAAGGGTTTTTCAGTAAATAGCATCAGTTCTGCCCCTGCCTTTTCCCTTGCCAGTTGTTTTAAATTAGCATGTTTCAAACAACCA